ATCCCCCTAAAATAGCTAAAACTAAAAACAAACTAAAAACTACTTCCAAAAACATTCAGCTTTGATATTAATGAGTTTTTTGGGTTCATTGAGAACATGTTTTTGTTCAATAATAAATTTATTCCTTAAAAATACAACTTGCCTAATAATTCTGCACTCCCTGTATACTGTTGTTGTATTATAAACAACAGTCTAAGGAGCTTGGAAAGCCTGAAGAGAAAGAGAAAGAACACACACATGTAAAAGAAGCTCTCAAAACATGCAGTTATGCTAATTGGCTTTCATCAAGTCAGCAAATATGCACGGGAAAGAAGATCAGACACCATCTAGGGAGGATATGAAAGACAAACACAACAACATTGTCATCCCCTATGTGGCCTGTGTATCAGAAAAACTCACGAGAGTCTTCTCCAAGCATGACATCCCAGTTTACTTCAGACCCAGCAACACACTCAGACAGAAACTGGTTCAGCCCAAAGACAAAACTCCTAAACACAAACTTAATAATGTGGTGTATGCTGTATAATATAGCGAGGAATGCCCAGACCTCTACATTGAAGAGACCAAACAGCCACTTCATAAACATATGGCACAACATAGAAGAGCCACCTCCACGGGACAAGACAAGGTCCATCTGCATCTAAAGGACAAAGGTCACTCTTTTGAGGATGCCAGTGTTCACATTTTGGACAGAGAAGACAGATGGTTTGAAAGAGGAGTAAAAGAAGCCATTTATGTCCACTGTGAGCGACCATCTTTGAACAGAGGCGGTGGTTTACGACACCAACTGTCTGCCATCCAGTTTTGAGATCCCTTCCCAGACACCTTAACGCCCACTCACATTAGAGGTATTTTATGTCGTGCAAATGTTAAAGCCAAATGCAAAGACAGACTGTCAGAACAGCAGGGATGGAGCATTCTTGGGTGGCCCTTCTCATAAAATAATTTTAAAATTTATAAAATTGTTGATATATGCCATCTAGTGGTGAAAGAAGTATTGCTAGGCTTTGCTGTCAAAACATTACATGAACTTCTGTGTTTAACCACCCTGTGTCTGAGGAACCAGCATTGACTCAGCCTCAGAAAATTATGACTCAGACACAAGAACAAGATACTCAGCAGCTAAAGAAAAACATGGAGTTGTGCAACTGCAAGGAGTGAGAGCTTTTCTCTCAGAGTGTGGAGCTGAAGAATAGGAGTTGGATCATTGTGAAGGGTGTGAGCTAGCTGATTATTATGGAGGATGCTGTGAGGAGTTAGATATCAAATATTGCATATGTTAAAAAAAATAACTTTAAAAAAGAAGAAAAAAAATTGGATGAGATGAGTGATTGCATGACCCTGTCTATCAAAATAACAATCACAAAGACAGACCACAGTAGGTTTGTTCTTAGGAAACTGTTCCTGTAGCCTTTAAACAGCATGTTGAACCATCCAGATTTAACGCAAAGACACTGTGATATAATTTTATTTCAATTTTAATATCTGGATACCCTGAAATACTTACCACTACAGTCATTTACATTTTTTACACATTCAATATGAATGAGTGATGCTTATTTCGAATACTGCAGCATAATTACTGTATTCAGTGTTACACTGAAACAGTGCCAGCAGAGGGCTCAGTGTGACACACTAAGCAGCAATACTGGAAGAGTTTTGCTTTTTCCTTTTTTTATATTTCACTTTCAGTTTACTAAAAGTCATAAATGGTTGTACGGCTTAAATGCCTGCCCAGAGACCAGTTTCAGAAAATAGGTTTAGTGAAAACTCTTAAACTGCTCAATGGACGGTTTTCTTCAACGAACTTTGAAAACTAGCAAAACTGGTAAAGTGACTAAACTAAACTGGCAGACGAAAAACAGAGTGGGGAATGAGGGTGAGCAGACATTAACGATGCAACACTGACACAGAGAAACACCGTCCTAAAATACACAGAGGGAGCAATCAGGGGATAAGAGACAGGAGGGAAACACAGCTGGGTCAAATCAGGGCTGACATGACAAGGGGGAGCAAACCCAGACACACTACACACAGAACAGGGACTATCAAAGTAAAACAGGAAATACAGAACACAGGGAAGCCACATTACAAAACCTAAAACTGGACTCAGAAAATACAAAAGGGCTAGGGAGCTAGACACAGAGAGAAAAACACACTACAGTGTAAAAACCATGAGGAAGCCCAAAATAAAAAAGGCGGACCATGGACCGTGACATGATGTCCATCAGTGAAAAAAATATTCACACTTGCTTGGTTGGAAAAAAAGTATTCATTCACTATTTTAGTTAAAATACAGAAGTCTTATCAGTACATTATACTTTAAGAAGCAGTAAAACCCACCTGCAAAACATGTTCCCTCTGACTGACACAGCCCGTTTGCTTTTATCTGTAATTTAATCTATAAATATTCACAGGATGTTTTTCATGATAATCATGAAGTAGGGATCGTAAGACAGTGACAATGTTGAACAACAGCGGTACTTTCAAGTCAAGTCAAGTCAACTTTATTTGTCAATTCTGCCACATGTACAGGACATACAGAGAATAGAAATTTCGTTACTCTCAAACCCTAG